ACGTTGTTCCCTTTGTCATCGGTATGTTACTTGCCCGAGATTCGATCGTCGGTATCTTCATACCTAGTTCAATCTCGTCACCGGCAAGTCTCTTTACTCGTTCCGTAATGCATCATCTCGTAACTAACTCATTAGTCACATTGCTAGCAAGGCTTATAGTGATGAGCATTACCGAGAGGGCCCAGAGATACCTCTCCGATATACAGAGTGACAAATCCTAATCTCGATCTGTGCCAACCCAACAAACACCTTCGGAGACACCTATAGAGCATCTTTATAATCACCGAGTTACGTTGTGACGTTTGATAGCACACAAGGTGTTCCTCCGGTATTCGGGAGTTGTATAATCTCATAGTCGGAGGAACATGTATAAGCCATGAAGAAAACAATAGCAATAAAACTTAGCGATCATTATGCTAAGCTAACGGATGGGTCTTGTCCATCATCCCGTTCATCAAATGACAACACATGTCTATGGTTAGGAAACATAACCATCTTTGATTAACGAGCTAGTCAAGTAGAGGCATACTAGGGACACTCTATTTTGTCTATGTATTCACGCATGTACTAAGTTTGCGGTTAATACAATTCTAGCATGAATAATAAATATTTATCATGATATATTGGTAATATAAATAAAAACATTATTATTGCCTCTAGGTCATATTTCCTTCAATGCTGGAACCAGCAACAGTGCGCGTTGCAATCGGCAAGGGCAGAAGCCGGAATCGTCAACACGCAATGCTGGAACCAGCAGCGAGGCGTCCAGTGATAGCGGCTGAGATGCTGGTGAAAGGTTCAACCGGCATGGAAAAAAGCTTCAACCAGCATGAAAAAAGCTTCAACCGTGGAAAATTTTCATCAACTGGCGTGAAAATAGCTTCAACGGCGAAAAAAGATTCAACGGGTTTGTAACAAAGCTTTAACTGGCGAAGGAGAAAGCTTCAACCATGGGGGAAAAGATTCAATGGGCATGGATAAAATGCTTCAACCGAAAAAAAAATACTTCGAGCCGCGGTAAAAAGCTTCAACCGGTGTGTGAAAAAGCTTCAACCAATGAAGAAGGAAGGTTCAACCATGAAAAAACTTCAATGGCCATGGGAAAAAGCTTCAAACAGTAGAAATAGCTACAACCGGCGCGAAAAAAGCTTCAAGGGACATGAAAAAAAGCTTCAACTGGCACGGCATGTGGTGCGAGCGGCAACATCAGGAGCTGCGGCCAACGGCATGGTGGTGCTGCATCGGCGTGCTACCACGGCAGCGGCGGCTAATTGCTGCAAACGACGAAAGCGTCGAGCGACAATGGCATTGCTACGGGACGGCGGCTGGGCGCTGCAACGGAAGTCCTATTGGAACCAGCGAGGACGGTGACCGGCGGCGAGCTGGTGATGCTTCAAGGATGGGTCTCACGCATCCATGGTCGTTGTCCAGCAGGAATCGCTGTTTCTTTTACCTTTCTTCGATGCGTGATTTGTGGTTCAGATGCCTTTTTTGTCGAGGGAAAGAAAATGGTGAAATGCCTGATTTGATAGTGGTAACAGCACAATCCGATGTGCCAGGTGCGACCGGCCGAACCGTTGCGTAGCACTGGCCAAAGGTAAAAGGTAGTGCACGTAGCGAGGGTCATGTGCAGAGCACGTTGGAGCAGCGGCACAACGTTCCCATCAATCGTCAAAAAGGAAGAAAAAGAAGAAGAAAAAGAAACGTGATGTGTACGTGGCCACGTTTTAGGCTAGCTAGCTAGTTTTATTTTATTTAAGGATCATTTAGGCTAACTAGCTCAGTGCACACATTTAGGTCAGCCTCTGCTAAAGGCATGTACAAGGTTTTATCTTAGCAATGCCACGTAGGATAAATGATGATGTGGAGGAGAGAGAAATCATAAGAAAAGGCTAGCCTTCTCTTATTTAAGAGAAGGCAAGAGATGATATCTTAGCACAATATGTCTCACCACGTTTTTAGGAATAGCTAGTTATTTAAGATAAGGCTAAGATATGACCCATTTTAGACATGTTTTTTTTGTCATCTATCAATTACATGCAAAACTTAAGATAAGACTATCTTATCAACCATTGTACATGCCCTAACGCACGCACGCACGCAGGGGCCGCTCGTCTCTCGTGTACTGATTGCGCATCCACCAAAATCTATCAGCTACCGATACA